CCTGCCGCCGCGGGGCGAAGCACAAGCACGCCCCGGCAATAAAACGACGCTAATCCGCAAAGGAAGGCGCCTCCAACGTGTTCCCCGTGTGTTTCTAACTGAAAGGCAGAAGCACCGAATACTACAGAAAGGCCTTCCGCCGACACATTAAACACGGACGTGTTTGACGTAATAAAACAATTTTAACTTGTCCGAGAGCTGAGGGCTTCGAGCTAAAGGTGTTGTCCATAGTAGGTTATCTCCCGGGTCGGGGCTGTGCTCTGAAATAAAGCCCCTCACTCAGCGTAAGGTCGAGATGATGCTGCGGCATCATATTTAGATCATGGCTCGCAGGGAAATCTAGGGTGTACTTAGTCACCTATGGTATGACCTTATATTCCCACTCAATTTAGTAACAACAGTTGGTTTCTTATGGGGCATGTGAGATTTAATTTATTAACTGAGTTTCTAGGATAAGTGGAGAGAAAGTCAGAAAAGGCATGAGATGAGAAGTCAGCCGATGGAGGGGAAATGCTCAGAGAGATGGAGCTCCCAGAGAAATGTAAGTCCTGTCTCCTAAGTTTCTCAAATAGGATGTTCATGTAAATACAGTTACTTGTCAACAAATATTTTTGATACGGTGTCCTGAGTGATTTTTTTTTTCCCCCTGACTTTTAAACTATCTGGTTATGATTTTGTGATTCTGTGATTTTCATTTCAGCTTTTGTCTCTTGTTTAGTTTTGAGCCTTTTTGTCAAATAGCACAGTGGGATCTGTCGGAATACTAAAACTCTTGTGTTCTGAGAATGATGTTTCAGCCATCTGAAAAAAAAATGCCTCTGTTTACATTTGGATGGTGTATCTTATTCATCACCTTGGCACATGGGAGTATTGATATATGTTTGAGCACGTAAAATCCTGGTAGGCAAATACCCAAGTAACTCGCCTCTGTGTATTATAAAAAATGCTGCAGCTTAGCCCTGAGACAGCCACTGTGTCACAGATGGATGTCCCTGTATCTTTTAGCTCTGGAATGAATTCTGCTCTTACTGCCCCTTTGGCTGCTTTAAGTTCACGCAAGATACGTTACAGGAACTTTTAGGTTGTTGAAGAGCTTCCGGCCTCTTGCATTATGATCCAAAAGTGAGCTAAAATGGTGTTGTTTTTTTTTTCCTAAATGATCAATTGAATTAACTAAACCAAGAAAGAGGTAGAATTAATAAATCATCAGAGATGATTGACTCTGAAATGTAATCTAATTAAGATGTCAATTTAAATAAATCACTGCCGTTGGAACTAAATAATGAATGTTAAAAGCTGTTTATGTGCAAAAGATACCTGTGAAGTTTTCCTGGGAAAGTAATTCTTTAAAAAATTCAGTATTTTTCATTCTCGCTCTTATAAATAATCAGGCAGGCTATTCTCTTACCAATTTTATGTTTCAGTGAATCTGAATTTGATTGTCACGTAAGCTTCCTTATGAGTCATTATCATAACTTCACATCACTCATTAAATGAAAGTTGTTTTTCCCCCTAAATCCCCTAACCTACTTCTACTGTGCCAACAGGAGCATTCAGAAACTGGCAGTAAGGTGCAGCTCTGATACAAGTTTTCTGTTTCCCTGTGACTCATTTGACATTAACATAATTATGTTACAGGAGTCAAAGTGATTTTCCAACTATGAGTAATGCACAATACTAGAGCGAATGTTTACAAGACACCGAGGCATATCAGCTAGCTGAAGTAACCAGCTGCTGATAACAGCTGAAGTAAGTTGGGGAATTAAAAAGTCTTAGAATACAATTATCCTTCTTTGGCACTCGGTGTCATGTACGGCCGTGAGGTAGGTCGTGTGCTCTGCGAAGAAGGATCCAGAAGCAGCACTGTGCCGTAATGGGGAGAAGACCAAGCCCGTGGGTAGTTCGCACAAGAAGTCTTCATAGTTTTCTTCCCACTTGCATATTTATGGCAAAGTCGTGCTCAAATGAGAGCAGTGATCTTTTCAAGAAGCGGCTGTATTTACCAGAGTTCATTTCAAAGCGCAAGTGACACACATCCTCTCAGCCAGGAAAACAAGATCAAAATGAAACAACAACAAAAAAAAAATGTGAGGTCATCTCGCAAATATTTTGAACTGTGTGTGTGTGAATAACACAAAAGGAGAAAACTGATAAGGATAAGGCAAAACTGAGTCCTGTTACCACGATGAGCTATCTTTTCTCTGAAACAAAAATATTTATCTGCAGGTAAAAAATATTTACCATTATCTGATAATGGTACAGAGAAGAATTACAATGAATATGTTCTGAATAAATAGCAGAAAAAGTAACTACAAAATGTATAAGCCATAAGAAAAAAATAGAAAAATAAAATCAAATCTTAGTGGTGATTACTTGTTTCAAGTCATTTCATGCAATTTTTAGAAATGACTGACTTCTCAGGATTTTTCTAAGTAGTTTGAGAAATGCATTCATTTTTTTCTGACTTTTTTAGTTTACAAGTAGCTTTTGAATGAAACTGGGACACTTTTCTATTTAGAAGTTTGTCAACTTCGTCTGGATATCCTTCCAATGAAGCCTTATTTCAGTAATGTGCTGAGCACCCAGAACATCACCGGTTTCATAGGAGTTGAGGACACTTAGTTTAGGATTAGCCCATTAAAGTAGAAGTCTAATTTTGAAATACCAACACAAACTAGCTACAATTTCCTAGAGTACTAGAACTGAAAATAACAAGTTAACAACTTTCCTGTAAAATACCACAATACTACAAGTGGGAAGGAGAGTGAAAAGCAGAAAATACATACTGATAGCAGAACTCTTAGTAGAAAGGATGTTTTCCAGGAGACGTACTCGGAGGAGTCATAAAAAAATTCCACATCACACCCCGTTTTTTTAATTCATGAGAAAATCTGCTGAGGCCAGACATTTGGCATGCTGGAATTAGTATCAGTGACTCTCAGAGCTGGATGAGGACCAGAACTGGTAAAAAAGTTGTTCGTGGCAGAGGCGGGCTGGAGGAGGAAAGGCTTGCCACGGTACCTTGCGTTGACAACACTCCCTATTTGCCAGGGGAGTCAAGACTTGGAGGTTTTCTGTTTTCCCTGCTACAGTTTTCGTGCTGCATGACCGCGGTCAAACTTCAGTTCTCTTTCCTTCAGTTTGCCCACCTCTTACTTAGTGGGAGATGTAATGAACCTGCTGTGCGGAGATGGCTTTGGATGGCAACTGCCACTGCAAAAACCAGCACGAATGTATTTAACGCATGTTGGTAAAATCGCCCAGCAGAACCCAAACCAAACATAAACAGAGCAATCCAAGCCCCATCAACACAAATAAATTCCCATAGCACAACTTAGAGGAGTCTTAAATTTAACCTGATTCACTATAAGCTCATCCAGGACTGTCGTTTTACAATGGCAAATATCCACCTCTGTAGCGTGCTGTGCCACTGTGTTAACACCTATTTTGACTGCTTTTAATTACCATTATCCCTAACTACCGAAGCTCAACCCTCAGCTCAGGTTACTAAAATGTACCCCAGTAGTACCAGGGCAGGTTCCTGCACTACAGGTGTATATTGTGCTACTCCTTGTAGTAATACCTAAGAGAAGATGTTTGTAAAACAGTTCTGCTCAGCTCCATACCTACCTGGAGTGCCTTAATGAAGCAGTCTTGAAAGCAGCACCTCTGCAATGCTCTGCATTTCCACCCCCTGCTTTCCCACTTGGCTCCAGAGGAATTTTCTTCTTAAAATTATTTTCAGGGCAGCTGCACACTGTGCCCCTTCTTTTTCCTTCTTGGAGGGGCTGCCATTTATTTGTAACATTGATTTAGCGTTCTGCAGTGACATACAACCTGTGCAAATTCCAAGTATTTAACCTT